TGAATTACAGTCTATCAGACTTCATTTTGCAACTGGTTAGTGAGATGGGCAACAAAGGAATGGGATATTGTAAGTAAAAAGAAAAACAAAACTATCAGCAAAAACAAAAAACACCAGAAGTATGTCATTAGTTCAAAACTGTAAGCACCTTCCTCATTCTTTTAGTGGACTATTTCCATCCACCTAACCTATAAATGGTTTATTTTATCTACAGTACATTTAATGATACTCAAACAGTCCATGTGCATCTCTTATGCAATACACTCGTTAAGTTCTTCATAATGGTCTTCAATTACTTTCTTCACCTCAATTATTTATATTTTCAGCACTCTTAAACCATGGTTACTTACAATTTAAACTTCTTACTGGATTTTATATGCCAGTAAGCAATATATGTTGCCTTTTAGTGCTGTTTGTAGAAAACCTTTTTTGTGGCTCAAAACTGCAAAGACAAGGAAATTCACAGTGAGGAAAGTTATTTCACTTAGCCATTTATAACTCGTACCCAACTCTTGTTATTTAGTACAACCATATATGACAGAGTGATCCACATGCAAACCACTTGTCTGCTGCCTCTCCCATCTATATTCTCAAGATGGTAGAAGACAGCCCAATCAACCTCATCTCCTTGTGCCTGTCACAACCTAGATGGAGAACTGTTCCTGCTGTACAGCAGGATATAGAGTAGATTGGCAGCAGCTGCTCCTCATCGGATGGAATAAGGCAGCAGCCCAGTTACCCTTGGCTCCTGTAGCAGTCCCAGCTCTCTCTGTGCCATGAAAGGCCCAAGAAATGCACTCAGTCTCTAAAGCTTGATGGATGGAAGGCAACTGCTAGTATAGGGCACAGAAAGGTGGGTGCCTCTAAATGGGTCCACTATGAATGCTAAGAATGAATCATCCTAAATAAATGTATAGCATACATCAAACATGCAGCAGCCTTTAACTTGAAGTATAATTTCATGTACTTGGAATTTGATCTATTGGGTGGCTTTAATACTAGGATAAGTCTCTAAGATGCATTGACTACTATGTGAGCAATCCATGTTTCCTTTCCAAAATATAATTTACCGAGTAGCTTGCTTAGAACTTTGACTTTTGGTACTTAGTTTTATTGCATTGTTGGGTTTTGGAGGGTTGTATTTTGTTTTGTGTGTTTGTTTTTAATTAAACATTAAAATTGAAAGTTTATTGACTGCATAAACTGTAGGACAAAAGCACTACATGGTATCCGTTTTTAATTGGACATCTAGATCAGGAGAGCTGGTGCAGACCACCATGGTTCCTCCCTGCCAGTTCATCAGCTCTCCTTGACGGCATGATCCGGTGTGTGTCCAGCCCTTCTGACTTGATATGATGAGGATTTTAGCTCTAAGTCAATATATGTATTTTATATTGTGAGAAATCCTGATCAAAGTGAAGTCCTCTAAGTTCATTTTTAAATCTACTTTACTTGAATCAAGCACTGTAGTGAATCAGTGGATATAAAATATTTGGTGGGTCTGAGTTAGATCTCTGTTAGACTGTCTCCTGTTGCTACTCATTAATGATTTATTTTCATCAGCTTTAGAACTGCCCTTGCAGTTCAGCAAAATAGATAAGAATGAGTATTCTTATGTTGTTTGATGAGCTACAAGTGCATGCAATATAAGTTGCATATTTCTAGCAACTACTACTTTGTAGTATTTGTAGCATCCTTAGTGATATAGACATTGGGTTATATTGCACCCATACATCTGATCATTTGGTTGTCACAATATGCAAGGTTAAGTGTTTCACAGCTCTCTAGGTAGTTGTTTTACATACAGAAAACACAAGCTAAACAATGTCTTTAAGCTGGGAAACTTAGCTTGAAGTTGATATTGCCAATAAAAATCATCTTCTAAAATGTTTAGACTTCAGGACTTCAATGCTAAAAACCTTGATTTTTTTTTTCCACTGGTGAAATTCTTTTTGTGGCCTCCAGAGGTCTCCTTTACGATATTTGATTTTTAAAAAGCAGTGACTGCATATTGGTCATGATAATTCTTATTTTTAACTTCCAAAATCAGTTCTTAACATGATAATTTTAATGATTGTTGTAGTCAAGTAGGTAGCTTTCTCTGTTGTTTTGGGTTTTGTTTTGTGTTTTGTTGTTGTTTTGTTTTGTTTTGTTTTTACCATACTGTAATTTGTATTTTTCAAGTTAGATGTTTGTATGTAAGAGCATTTTGGCTTTCTCAGGTGGTTCTTAAGCTTTTGAGGAAATGCAAAAGTAACCAAGCAAAAAATGAAAGCCTGAAATATGGTAATAAAGGTGAAATTGGTATTCAAATACCAATAGATAGATTCTGCTGGCTCTAAACTGGGGAGCTTTGTCTACAAAAGGAATTCCTTGCTGATAAAGAACATTCCCAGGCCCCTTGGCAAAAGTCTTCTTATGAAGCTTTCAATGTGTTGTTGACCATATGTTAGCATCTTTACCTAGTGGGAGTTTTTGTGGGAGGAAGAGGGAGTAGATTTTTCTTTTAAAAGCACATGGTCATCTATATCTGTGCTTAGAGAGTTCTCTGTAACAGCTGGCCTTGCTTTTTGATAAGATCAAAGGTGTGCAGTCTGTCCCTCTGTATGCAAACTTCAAGGAACCAGGACTCATCATTTACAGACAAAAGCAAGATAACTTCTGAAGGCATCATGTAGCAAATTATACTTTTCTGATATATTTTAAGTAATTGATTCAGTTCATTAAAATATGAACTTAGAAATAAACACTGATTTTCTTTTCTTCCTCATTTTGTTTCTCATTTTGAAGTAGTGTGATACACGATCGGACATTTCTCTACCATTCATGTACTTACATCTATATTTACCACTCTAACTGTGGAGTCTGTTTGTAAAGGCTTTTTGCAGCATCATCCCTTACCCCCAGCTATTCCCACCCTTGTGATGTCTGTGAACAACTTTTGTACTAAGGATTTTTCCTACCTATTGCATCTCTAAACACTGAATGGTAACAGCTTTGTAGTGCTTTCCCTGTTTTCTTGGATTCCCTCACTAGGGTACCCTCAGTAATTGGGAATTTGTGTAAGGCATGGAAAAAAGGCTGGCAAAAGATTCCCAGCCCTACAGAGAATATGTTGAAAATACATTTTGGATTGCTAGGATATTATCAGTGGTTTCTTTTTCTTTCTATGCTTTATTTGTACTGTTGTACTGTGTACAGCTCCCTCCTGTCCCCCAGATTCTGTATGCACTTTCAGAGAGAGCATAAAACTAAGGTGCCCACATGTGAATTTTCCATTTTGGGGAATAATAATGACTTGCTTATTCATCAGTGGTGTAAGTTGCACTTCTCTCTTATGCTTTCATTGACTGATGTTGTGAAAGTTGTTCAATTAAAATTTTCCATGTTGGGTTATAAGTGGTAATTTCGTTCCCTTGTGAAAAATAATGGTTTGCAGGTTAAAAGGGTAATAACAGTGAATTTCAGCGTAGAAACAAAAGTTGGTTATGCAAACCAGGTACATTTGGATATGCTTATAGTTCAATTTACAACCTTGTTTCTGGGAAACAGCTTTGTTTCTTGGCTTATTTTTCCCATTTATTTTAAGGAATATGTGTATGAGAATGTAGCTATTAATACATTTGTCAAATCTAAAAAGTATAAAAGTGACTAGCTGGCATGTATGCTTTATATGCATTTTCTTTATATATGTAATTAGTATTTCTTCTAATGAAGAATATGAACTCCTTTTTACATGTTAAAAAGGGTGGCATTTTTGTTTACTGGCTGAAATTTGGGTATTTCTAATTTTGAATAAAGAAGGAAAATAAAGTTCATATGGGTACTATGGAAACGTGTTGAGTTAGTGTGTATTTACAGAAAGAAGAACATAACTGAAGGAATAATACCAGAGTTTTCTATGATACATAAGCGAATCTGTAAATTGGTGTAAACTGACTGTCTTGCAATTTGTAGCAGTGCTTATCATGTCTTACAGAAATGCCACCGAAACCTGCATGCTATTCTGAGATTATAACATGCATTGTATAAATACAGCATCACAATTGTGTTTGCTGCTAGGAAGTAAAAGAAAAAAAAAAGTGGGATCTGAATTACTTAGCAAGTAATTACTGCAAGTTGGCCCTCATACCACTTAGGTAGCGTTGCTAAGACAAGACGTAACAAACAGTACAACACTACTGAAGTGACTAATTACATGGTCACTTGAAATTTCATGGTGTAATTTTCAGCAGACCTCTCAAGAGCTTTAGGCTGTTTGCTCTTCAGTAATATCAGTTTGCAGCACCCGACATTTTGCCCTCATAAGTTGGGAAAACTGATTTCAAGAAAAATAAATAAATAAATATTAAAACATAGCAAAAGTACCTGCCTTTGCTTTTGATGCAGTAGTCATTGTTTCCTACATGACAGTACTGTCTAGTTTCAGATCTCTTTCTGAGCCAGTCTAAACCATCAGACCTTTAACATCTTGAAGGTCTTGAATTTACACAGTCGTGGAAATCTAAAATGAAGTAATTTCACTTGTCCGTTTGTTGTTTTTTTGTTTCTTTTGTTTTGTTTTTGTTCTTCTAACTGATGCTCTCTTGATATCAGGACTCAGACAAGGAGCATATCATACTTCACATTTCCCCTCTTCCATGCCATAACTGGCATTACAAACTTATTGTGCCCTCTTTCAGGTTTCCATTTCTGAGCCAAAGAGTTGATTTTATTTAATGTATTCTGAATAGAATCCGTATCATACAAATTATACAATATCACAGTGATGACTTCTCATTTTTTTGCTCCTAATTTTAACAATGTCTCTGCTGTTATATTGCTGTTGTGCAGAGTTGATGTCTTGCCCCTTTTTTTAGGGTTGGCTACTCTTAATAACTGTATATTGTTTGAAAACTTTGTCACCTCCTTACTGTCACTCATTCCAGATTGTATTCAACGTATTTGTAAATTTATCCATTTGCATATTCTTGAGGAATGTCACAAAGAAAAAAGCTATCTACTTTTTAAGCTTTATTTCCAAATTTCAACGAGTTCCAAAGCAAGAATTAACATCTAACATACCAGGTTTCTTTTGACCCTTTAGTAAGTGATCTTGCTAGAGTCCACTTACATTGTATCGCCTTTATCCCAGAGTTTCTCAGCTCCTCAGAGGGCTCCTCTGCTAGCTCCTCTCTAACAGCACCTCTGTAACTGATTTTCTGGTGCATGACTTCCATCAAACAAATCTCTTCATTTTTCCCTGGGTATCTTATACACCCGAGTTTGACTAACTTTATTTGTTGGTGCTATGGCTTGGCCCAATGCAAACAACTAAACTATACCTCCTGAAATCTCTCAAATATTTGGGTAACATTTGTTTTTCATTACTCGTGTGCAGTGGCTAATGAAAGCGATAGATGATCGTCTATTGAAATGCTTTTGAAACCTTGTAGTTTGTGGCATGTGGTCCTAGGAAAGCGTTACTCAGTATTTTTTCTAAGTTATTATTTATTTCTGTAAAAACATCTGTTAATACTGTATGTGGCTTCTGTAGTGCTCCTTCTCTGTAATCTGTAGAGAGTGGCTGTCATGTAGAACCCACTTAATCAGTGCAAGTACGTATGTGTGTTTATGGCTTTCCTCTGGAAGAAAATTTTTAACAACTTTCACTGTTAAAAAAAAAAGTTAAAAACAAGCCTATATAATAGTATTCACATAACGGACCACAATCATGAACTTGCGCTATAGGATTGACATTTTCCTGTTGTCTTTTCATGAATTGCTTACAAAATAAGGTTGTAGTAACCAAGTAAATGTTACATTATTTACCAAAGCATATCCAGAATACTATTTTTTTTTCAGTAGTGCAGTGTCCATGAATTGCAATCCTTTTGATGAAAATTCTTGTTTAAATAGAACACTCTCTTGAAAATTAAGAAACCCTGCCCTTTTTTTGTAAATATATATATATGTGTGTATACATAAAATAAAACACACAGCCTAGTCATTGTACCTGAGTTAACCTGTTTACATCCACTTGAACCAAATGTTGTGGTTTCACACAGCAGGCAGCTTAGCCCCCACATAACCACTTACACACTCCCCCGCAGCAGGCTGGGGGAGAGAACGGGGAAGGTAAAAGAGCAAGAATGTGTGGGTTGAGATATAGACAGTTTAACTGGGGGGAAAAAAAAAAAGCTGCACAAGCAAACCAACGCAAAGGATTCATGCACTGCTTCCCATTGGCAGGCAGATGTTTAGCCACTTCTAGGAAAGCAGCTGTTACTTGGAAGACAAATGCCATCACTCCAAACATCACCTCTTCTCCTTCTGACTACTTTGGGCCAGCTGTCCCTTTTGTGTCCCCTCCCAGCTCCTTGGCAGGGCAGCGTGAGAAGCCAAAAAGTCCTTGGCTCTGTGCAAATGCTGCTCTGCAACAACTGAAACATCAGGGTGTTATCAGCATTATTCTCATCCTAAATCCAAAGCATAGCACCATGCCAGCTACTGTTTAAGAAAATTAACTCTATCCTAGCTGAAACAGGGACACCAAAACTGAAGTAAAATCACATAAAAATTAAACCACAATTATATCTAGGAGAGGTGAATTGTTATGTTTTCTTTGTTCAGTAAGAGTTTTATGAGTAGTTTCTATAAAATCAGAATATTGTACAGGATTAATAAAAAAAAAAAAAAAAAAAACTGAAAGTTTTGACATAGATTAGGTATAAGAAGTCACACGATCCACCAGAGAAGTTTCTGAGTCATATTAAAATCAATATCAAAATACTGATCAATATTAAAATCAATATCAAAATCAACCTGAGCAATATTGCTTGTTTGACATAATAGATCCTTATTTTGTAGAGCTACCGTCTGGTATCTAATCTGTTCACCTTTCTGGCTAGACATTTAAATTGTTCTCTGTATAGGTGCCTCTTTGCATGTCTTTGTGTCTAACAACCACCTTCAGCCCTCTTTTGTTCTATACAACTTTACAGTTTGAAATTCTAGTTTATAAATACATGAACGGGTAAGTAGACTAGTTGACTGACCTTAAGCAAAGGTCAAAGCTGATGCTTCCAATGTGCAAGAGAACTACTTTCTCTCTATATATATATACTTATATATGTATTATTTACAATTATATATATATATATATATATTCTGCTCTATATGCTCAGTTTGGTGAGCATTTTCCTTGTTGAAATACTCTGGGTAGCTGAAGTCACCAAATTTGTTCAGTTATATGAATATGAAGGAAATCTTAGCTAACTGAAAATACCCGTATGTTTTCTCTCCTTCATGAATTTCTAATTTTCTTAGCCATTGCTACTTTTCCTCAAGTATTCAGTGTCAACATTCATTAAAATGTTGAAAATATAATAAAATGTTTAGGAGGTTTGTATATTTTAACTTTGATATTTAATAAAGTGTGCCTTCTATAATTATAACTGAATCAGTGGCAGTCATGTTCTTCACCTCATGTTTAAGCCACTTATGTTGCTAAATACTCAAGTATTTTCATGCAAAAAAAGAGTTCTGTAAAATGCTGATCTCTTTGAAGCCTATTAAAATCGAGAAGTACATAAAACCTTTAATGATTCGTATAGCTCTTTTGAATAGGGCACATTACTTTCAGAAAATTCATCTGCTGTTTACATACACAGATTGGTAATATTTATGTCTATACAGGCGCAAACCACTTTGTAGAAATCTCCTCAAAGAGTTAGTGTTCTACATTAGTCCCACAGAAGGTATCTGAGATAAACTTAAGGACGTTTCCTGTTTTGTTTTCTTGGATAAACAACCGTGGAGTACTTCAGAAAAGTCACTTCTCATTTTCACAAACAGAAGTAAAACTTCTCGTTTTTTAACAGGAAGAATGAGGCAGGATTAGTAGCCATACAGTACTGCATTTGGTGCATCTTGAGTTGATGTCCTAGAGTGACAAAGAGAGAAGCTGTTACCCATTTACTTAATCAGATCAGACTTCTTCTTAACAGAACTTGAGTGGGGAGTGGTAGTAGAAAATCGCTCTTGTGTATATTGTCCAAGTTTTATTTCTGAAGTACTTTCCAGAGTTATGCTTGAATCTCCATGAATTCTTCTACAAATAAGTTGGAATACAGTCTTACGGACACTTCTGGACATCAGGAAATACATAACTGGGTCTAAGCAACTGTTAAAAGATGAAAATATGAGCATCACCTCATTGCTTCTGTGAATGATTCCCCTCCAATAACAAGGTGGATTTTGTAACTGTGATGTAATGTAGACAAATCGGAAGATGTGGTATGGAACAAAACAGATAGTGAAAATAATTAGTACAATAAAGGAATTCCTTGCTGTCTGGGTATATTTTGCTGCATTGGGAAAATTAGATCTTCTTCTTGAGATTTTCAGAAGGTTCTTGGCAATTTTAACATATGAAAGTATCAAAAGGAAAAAAACTGTCCAAAAGATTATGACAATAATGTAATTTAAAACTGCTTCTGTCATTGCATTCTTTTTAGTTCGGTAATGAAAGCACCTAGTAGAATTTCTGACCTCACTCTTAAAGAAAGATGGTACAACTACTACTAGAAATCCTGTTAGTGCAAGTGCCCACACAGCGCAACAAATATATATACTTTGGGTAGCAGTTATCATTTTAGGACGCTTTACAGACTTAGTTATTTTTACGTAACGATCTAGACTAATGAGTCCCAACAGTACTATGCTAATGTACATGTTCATGTAAAATAGAGTTCCTACAATCTTGCATAAAATATGTCCAAACGTCCAGGTGTTATTGTTAACGTGGTACAGTATTCGGAAGGGAAGACAGAAGATCAGCAGAAGGTCTGCAATGGCCACATTTAGCAAGTAAACTTGGATGGAATTCCTCTTCTGGTGAATGCACAGGAAAGCAAACAGGGCTATAACATTTCCAGCCAATCCAACAACAAAAATGACCGAGTAAAAAAGTATTAAAGCAGATGATAGCGCATCATCTTCTAAGAAACAGTTGGTGTTGTTTTGAATTTCGGAGGCGTTTGTGGCTAGGTGGGTTTGGTTACTCCAGGAGGCTTTGTGTGGAGGAATGGTCAGTAAGTCAGCTGAAGCTGCAGCCATCATTTATGAGGATTTTCTTAGCTGGTCTGTAAGGATGCAAAGAGAAAATCTAAGAATTAAATCATCATAGGATCACTTTTGTGTCTTTGCTTGCTTTGTTGTCTTAGGTATATACATAGTCTTACAAATAAGACAATAAGTAAATAAAGTAAATGCACCAAATTGTACCCAAGTAGAAGAAGAACTTTCAGGCAAATACCATGATATAATGTAATGCTAGAACATTTAGTTCCCTGTTTTTCTTCATGCAAAGTGGGCAAGAACAGATGGTACAGAGTACTCACCCAGATTGCTATTCTTATCATTACATTTTTATTACTATCTTAAATTGTTTTAAAATCAACTACTACGTTTTGTTGAAAAAAATAGAAATTTACATTTTTTGCTTGATCTGTAAGTACAAATCAAATGTTCTCATGTTATTTTTGTGGTGTTTTTTTTTCTGACACTGAGAAAAAAAAAATAAGATGCAATGAAGTGTAAGCGTAACTAAGTACTGTCAGTTCGATAAAATACATAAAAATATGTGTATATTAAATCAATTCTAAACTCAATGCTATTGATTTTAGGTAAGTACCCAATGCCTTGCTTGTTAGTCACTGGTTTTCATTCAGAAAAGCAATTGCCATTTGATGTTTATTTGGCCATGTAATGTGTTGTAACACTGTGAGTCAGCACTGTTATGTTAGTTTCTTTTTAATAACTCATATTTTCATGTAAATGTAACTATTTTTTCCTTTTGTTGCAAGTTCATAAATCAAGATTGTGCAAGGAAACTAATTTTAGCTTGAAAACTACATTATGCAGTAACAGATTGTTTTCACATCTTTACTTATTTTCATAAAGTTTTTAATTTCACTGAGCTTATTTTTCACCAGGAAGGTACAGTCTAAAAGATAAAAATCAGCTTTGACCAAAGAAAGAAAGCTCCCTCCCAAAAGAAAAAAAAAAAAAAAAAAAGTGGTTAGCACAGCGGAATAGCAAAGAACTGTTTAGAGACTTATGACTATTAATAATATATTTTTTTTCCTTGATTTGTACGCCGCAGTGGTAAAAATTTGGTGTTTGCAGCAGCTAGCTTCTGTTCTCTCAATCTCAAAAGAACTGCAAAATTGTTTTTGGTATTCTGAGCAGATGTCTCCAACAACAGTAGAAAAAAAAAATTTACACAAATTTAAAATAGTTTTTCATTTGCATGGTTGGTCTTAAAAATGCAAATTTGCATTTAAATGTGTGATATAGCTGTGGTAGCATTTTAGGCAAAGTGCATAGTAAAAGCTGATGTACATACAGAATCTGAATTATTGAGAATGCGGTAAAATATTTTAATATTTCATGTTGGCTGATCTTAAAATTGCATTAAATATGGGCAATATGTTGGCAGTTTTAAAATTACTGCTGTCTTTTCATATTTTCATTTAGTAAGGTATGAGCTAGAAGTAATTTTGAAAGTTGTTTCTGGTTAAAAAGAATGCAGTACCTTCAAATACGTGGTAAAATCTATATATTGTTTTAAAATCTTATGTCTGTTGCTTATCTGTAAAAATGCTTCACATCATGAATTGCATAGTTAATTTACATCTTTTAGGTGAATGAGAGATGGAAAAAAGCAGTTACACTGCAGATACATCAGAAACATAAGTTTTGTTATCTGTAAGCAGGCATGCACACCAGCTGTAATTACAGATGAATTAAAGTCTGAAGGCTGGTAGTGCCTTTGTAATTAAGAGACATGTCAATAGTAATTTGTTTTAGTGTATCTTAAGTATAAAAGAAGCCACTTACCATTTCTGTTTTAAGAGCTTCTGCTGATTTTGAAAACCACTGCTGAAGACAGGGAGGAGTAACATGCATGTCCTCTTATTAGAAAGCCAGAGTACCAGCTTCTCTATGAAAGTATGAAAATCAGCTGACACAGTGCAATTAGCAACAAGGGGAAGTTTTAACTAGTGTTGCAACTGTTGTGTTTATTCAAAGGTATTTTTAACTCACAAAACTCAGTTTATTGAAAAGATTGATTTTGTTGTTAATTTGGGTTTTTCTGGGAGAGCTTCTATCTTAAAGTTTTCTGTGAATTGGAGATTTGGATTTTTTTTTCAGAGAAAGTTTATTTCTGGTGATTAATGCCAGTGTCTTCCTTTTTGAGAAGCCATTATGTTGGTACAGCATGGAAACAGTATTGCTTCTTAAAGTTTTATGTGTAAGGTAAAGAGAAATCAACACCACAGTGAAGTGGCACATTTTCCTTTGTTGGTGTAGACCTTACCATCTGCCTTCCCCCTTGCTTGGAGTGAGAAATCTGAGGTTCATTTTTTTCACTCAAAGTGGCAGTGGTGATAGAATGTGAAAGTGTGCAGCTTCACTGTTTCAATAAGGCAGAAGTGAAATAAAATACCTGGAGATAATACCACCTGGTAATATTATTTTAAATAGGATGTAAGGGGTTGAAGATCACACTTATAAATTGCAAATTTTAAAATTGGTTCTAGAAGTATTATTAAAATAAGGTAGCCTGAATTTAATGATAACTCAAGAATGTTGTCTTAGTATTCTCCTTAGTATTTGAAATAAGAATTTGCATGATAACATTCTTAATATATCATCTGTCTAGGAATCAGACTTGTTTGGGACTGCAGGTTTCTGTTAGACTGTTAGACTTGCAAACAGGCTCTGCAGTCTTACTTGAAGCTACTTGCTCTCAGACAATTACAGCTTTCCAAGGAGAACATGGATGGTTACAGATGATTTCTTAGGTAGTCAGATTGAGCCCCTTGTAGCACCTTTGCACTAGTCTGGCTCAAAGGTCTAACGTGGTTATTTTCCTTTTAAAGATCATACAACATGTCTGGAGTGTTATTTTTATTTCCATCACATGTTTTTATTGGAATACCCTTGCTGCTAGTTAGCTACTAGGTAGTACAAATACTTGGGACAGTGATCACCCGAAGTTGTTCTGTGCTTGTTTTTATGCCTTTTGAGTCCTCCTCAAGACCCAGCTGAACTAGACAAAATAGAGCCAAGCCTGTTGTTTTCCAGTTTTGCAGAAAAAAAAAAGTTGATGTTACTATGTTATCATAATTCCATCCTGATAATTAATAGGGCCAAAATGTGTAAGAGCAGGTATTCATAGTTATGTCACAAAATCTGATTACCGTGCTATACCAAGAAGTAAATGATAAGTATCAAAGGTAACAACAGGTCATGACTCTCTGTGAGTATATAGGTGAGACTATGGGTAAGCTGAGCTTTTTCAGTCTTCTGATATGATAATTATATCCTTCAAAGTCTAATATAGTAAGCTTGGCTTTGAGTATTAGAGAACTGTGGGTGTCTTACAAAATGGTCCTCAACCTAAATTAAAACCATACAATACAGGCACAAAATAGCATAGAAGGAATTTGCATGTGGATTGTTCCATTCTTTGCTTGGTCATCCATACAGGGAAGTTGTAATTCTGCTGTTTCAGATTTGAGCAGTTTAGTTCACCCCCAAAAGCAATTTAACCTTAGATCCTCTGTGTGGTAAGCAGCTTTGTTCTCTCAGTTTCCTTGCAGGAGGACGAGTGTACAAGAAAATCTAACTTAGGGCAGCACATACTTGTGAGAAAAGAAGGAAAATACTGAAAGAATGTAGGGCATCCTATTTTGAGTTCCTAGTTTTTTAATTTAAGCAGTAACATTTCCTCAAGAAGAGGTTTACAGATCCAATATCCTTTTAAATAATACAGTTGACTGTGCAAAGGGTAGCTCTGAGTAAATGTAGGAAGTTGATCGATGTTAATTGCAGTAGTTGGGCTATGTGTATTAAATACTAAATTGCATTTTGGTAGATTTTGTCAGTATGTTGCTTCCTCCCACAACAGTCACTATCCTTCCAAATAGTCACATAGTACTATTCTTTTTTTACATGTTACACCTCACTATTATTAGTGGAAAGACTGTAGAAAATCAAAGGTACAGATGACTGTGCATGGTATACAGTTTAGAAACCTAACCAGTTTTATCATCACTTACTAGAAGCATCACAGGGATGTAACATTTCTTTCCTGCAGCTGGAAAGTGATTAGTGACTTCCATGATTAAGGCTCAAAGCAAGTTTTATGTTCTCTGTAAGAAACCCACTGTGCCACAGGGCAGGATGTTTTTGTTGTGAAGCTAGAACAGGGTAAGGCATAAGGTAAAAATAAAAAGCGATACCAAGAAAGAAGTTATCAGCATTCATTTTTATCTTCATTTTATAGTGATTTCAGTTTGTGTTCCTTGTGAGTTCTGTTAAGTCATGAAAGGGTTTTACTATGCCTGGTACAAGTGAAAAGAAAACCAATGAGAGAGCAGCTTGTGCCAAAAAATATTGGAAATGAAGAATTTCTTTTAAAAATACTTTTTTTTTTTTATCTAGCTTCTGTTTGCAAATATTTGAAAGTAAGTTCTAAGGTGCAAATTGTATGTTTTGAAATAATATAATAATTTGCTTTTTCATTGTTTTTGTTTTCAGCCACACTGTGTACTGCTTGCCTCAAAAGAAAATTCAGCCCCAGTAAAGCTTGGTGGCTTCGGGGTAGCAATTCAATTAGGAGAGTCTGGGCTAGTTGCTGGAGGTAAGAAACTGTCCTTCAAAGTTATATAATATTATGCATGTTCTGCTGCAGAGTTCTGTGCTTCCTATGCAGCCTGGCCTGCAAAACTAGGGCTCAAAAATAATCTTTCACTAAAGACTTTGCTAACATAATATATGCATGCAGCTGATCTGAACTGCTAGTAGAACGTACTACGTTGTTGTGTGTACATTTACTGAGTAGTAAATCCCTCTAAACGTTACTCAACAATGGCTCTACGCTGTTTTTACCAAAATAAAAATGAAAAATGAAAAGATTTTTCCATTTTAGTACAATCCTTGACATAGTTAGTCCATGCTTGACAAAGCACACAAAATATAGATGCTGTCAAGAGTAAAATGTATATCAAAGCAATTGACTAAGGGTTTAGTACAGCATCCTTAATGCTCCCATATGTTTCTTAAGCAGTTTCTGCCAGAACGCTACACTGTTTAATAGCAAAATTTTACTAGCTTCCATGTGTAATTCTTTCCTGTTTTAATATTTCATTGTAATTATTGCATAAGACATCAATATCTTGATTATGTATATTTTTTGACTAAGTGTGTTTTGTTTTTTGTGAATTTTATTTCCTCTAGCTGCCTTCCATATTGGTCCAGACAATAGGGTTATGCTTTAATCAGCCTGCACAGATGAAGGAAGACCCAATCAGTTTTCTGGTATTTTCATTGCCAGAGTAGGAGACCACAACAAAGGCTTTTATTAATTTTGCTTTTTTTTTCTTCAAAAGGGAGTAACATCCTCTCAATACATCTCAGTACCTTCTTCAAAAACTCACGTTTCCATATCTAATTGCTTTAAAGATCTGTGTCAATTTGGCTTTTATGTGACCTTTAACATGAAAAGCAAATCCAATTTAAGCGTATCAGCACTTCCATTCTCTTCCAGTAATTAATAATACTGTGGATATTTTTTGTTACCTACAGGCCTAGATATGTCTTTTCTAAGAAAATACCCATTCAGTTAAGCTAAGTTTTTTCCTAAATAAGAAGCTCATTTCTTTCTTTGCTTTTGCCACGTTTCTCAAATTATATCTTAGCCACTGCATTTTTTAATGATAGTTCCTACAGTTTTGTTTATGATTCTCTCATTTTTCTTCTTTGTGTTCTCTCTGAACAACTTCATCCATTTTTTCTGTTGCAGTTACTCTTCTGGAGCTAATCAGATACATTGTACTTACTTTCAGACTACTAGCTTTCTTACAAGAAACCTGAAGTTCAGCTTGGAAAAAAAATCCTTCATTTTCCCCAAAATTCATCGTACCCTTCCTTTCCTGTTACCATTCACTGTTCTGCAGTCCCATTCATCATTCATGTGCTCAACCTCCTTGCAGCTGACAGTGCTGGCCTGGCCCTTCCTTTCCTATGTAAATGTTTTAAGTTCTTTTTAGTTCTGTTTGCAGTACTTACAGAAGCTTCTTCTTCTTTTTTTTTTTTCATAAGCCTCATCAGTATAACATTTCTCTGTTAGTTATCTTTTGCCTGTGATGTGTCTCAGTCTCTGCCATATCATTATGCCTTTATATCTTTCTTTCCTCTTTCTCAACTGTCACTTTCAATTTGTAATCTGTGCATCAGCACTTGTTACCTTCAGCTTCAAATTCTTCACACTTTCAGGGATACTTAGAGTATTTCCACTTCATTTATATACCATATAATGTCTCAATTCTACTACTTATTTCAAGTTTTCTCCTTCACAGACTCCTTATCTCTTTCTTCTGATCTTCCATTCCAGTCCTTGTACTTCAAACTACATCTTGCAGTTCCTTTCCCTTCCAGAGTCCTTCCTGAAGGCATATTACTAGACACTCCCCTATACAGCACTTGCAAGATTTTATTTCTTCAACTTTACAGTATCATTCCATATGTAAAGGTTAACGGTACTGTCTGTACTGGCCTATCAATTTCCTTTAGGAAATTGTCTACATAACTGTTTAAGTTTTTATTACGCCCTACATATAAATTCTGTTTTGTAGTAATAATAATAAAAAATTAGATCTCATTTGTCAATTTTCTCCTGAATGAAATAGAAATTGTCCTTACAGATAAGATTATGTGCAGTAAAATAACCAACATGCTTATGTTCACATTCTTTTTCACATTTTTAGGTTTTAAAAAATTGATTCTGCTTAACATAGTCAATTATTTCACCTCTAGCATGGCATTTCCGTTATTTAGTGGTTGTTTTCAGCCATAATACATCAGAAAATAAATTCTTACTTAAATAAAAGTTTTTACGGCATTAAGCTTCTCTTATTGACCCTAAAAACCAGTGTGCTCCTAACCTGTTTTGGT